ACGCCGTGCAAGGATGATTGGGGACCTTCTGCAGCAGCTCGAAGGAACACAGCTGATGCACCACATGGAAACGAGGAACCCAGTGGAGCAGCTGGAGGAGACGCTTCGGCACGCGTATGTTCTCATCACATCCTGTCACGACAGCAGCTACCTACACAGCTTCTGTATGGGAGGGAAGCAGGCTGATCAGCTTCGCGAGGTGCAGAATGAGATCACCTTCTACCTCCAACTTTTCCCCCTTGTCAGCTTTGTCGACAACACCCGTACTTGGGAGCGGCTTCTGAGCAGAGCTTGTCCTTTGTGCACAAGGGTATGTATCTTGTCATGTCAATTTTGTAAGACATCGTTGTGTTTCTGAAAGACATGTTTTTCCCCTGAAGCAAAAAGACCAGTTTTTTCATTGCCAATGGCATGCTCAAATCTGTTTCTAAATGCAAACTTCACCTTTTTTTTGTGTTTTTATTTTATGGTTTCTTCCTCATTGTGTTAGTTAGATACTAGCCTATTGAAATTAAGATCATACACAACCCAAGGCTCAAGATTATGCAACTGTTGGAGCCTGTATAGGATGTACAAAACATCTAGCTCAAGGGAACTTATATAAGAAACATTGTACAATAGCTACATATTATTTCAACAGAAACATGTGCGTAAATCCTCATTTCCATTTACCCTGCTTCATACTAAAATTAAGATTCAAAATGTCGATGGAAGTTGTTTCTGGAATATTTGCTGATTATTTTCATAATGTTTTGTAAGATATAAGTTATGCACAGAGGGTTCTTATCTGACATCTTTTCTTTTTATGTTATCAAGGAAAGCACTGATGCGTTATGTGCAGCACGTCATGTGGAACATGAAGATAGGTATGGTATCCTTCTTCTCATGTCAAAGTTATGGACTGCCTTCAGCCATTCACTTCTGCATTCAGACATTGCAAACGTCTTTCATTTTGCTGGCACATATTTAGAGTGTAGACTGAATGGTGCACTAAGCTTTATCACTCCAACGCCAGACCTGTCTTCAAATTATAAACAAAGGAATGGACTTTGGGCCAGTGTACAATTCTGGTGCTGATGCTTAGGTTATTCAAACTCTTCTAACAACACAGTCATCATGTGTGATACTAGTTCAGTCAGTATGTGCCACTCTGATAAAGAAAATTGTGACCTCATCCATGGTACCCACAAACACAAATGGAAATGCCTTTTTAACATACAAAATCTTTAGTTTCCTTTATTCGTATAGCCTATTATGTTTAATATATGTGATTCTATATCAGGCTCAGATCAGAGGCCCTCAAGGCAACAAAAATCGAAAATCTAGGAAGACATCCTCCCCTAAAATCTGACAAAGAACAAATGGAAGGTATGCTATGCACTTACTTGATAGTTATGCAATATTGTCTAGTAGCTGCCAAATTTGCAGTATTATGTTCATGCCGACACCCATTTGGAGTTACTAGAGTAATTGTCCCTACTATGAAGTACATGTACATCTATGTCATTTACGAATACAGCTCATGTCAATATTTGAAAAATACACATCACAGTATTTGTTATATATATCGATGCCTTTCTTTTTGATACAAGGGTATAATATATCATAAATTCTAGAGATAATCTTTGCATGAATTATCCCCAAGGGCATGAAGAAATCACTGACTTTTCCTAATTCTACCCTGTTAAATTTCATTGAAATAAAAAAATTGAAGTTAATGAAAATGCCTTGACATAATGAGTTCTCTGGTTGTTCACTATGAATACTATATTAAATATGCACATTTGATTTACAAGACAGAAGCTTTGCGTGATTGCTCTGTTCATTTGTACTGTATCTGCCATGTCTGACTATGTGGACGCTAGCTGTCCCATACCTGCATTTTTTTTTGTATTAACTTTTCATACAAGTATATATTATAATCAGTGACAAAGTTGGGTTTCTTTTGAATTAGGCCAAGTCATGAACATGGGAGGATTAGTAAATCTCATTGGTGGTGGAAAAGGCGCAGAGTTATCATGTTTTAGTTTCTCTCAGATTTTGGCTGCTACAGACAACTTTTCAGAGAAAAAATTGGTGGGAAATGGTGGATTTGGTTATGTTTACAAGGTAATTTTTATCTCAAGACAACCTATAGTATGATATATGTTCTTGAACTGCTTAAGTATAGCACCTAGATCAAAAGAACATCTCGAAATGCACTCTCCACTTGGGATGGGTTACTCAAGCTAGCACCTTGCTTGGTGTTAAAGGGTTAAACCAAAGATTTGCTCCATTGGGATAACAGTTACTTTCACCAGCAATTTGATTATCTGACACCTGGAAATTTCTTTAAGCTCCCTCGTACATCTTTAGATATCTTCTTTAACATTGACGCTTAATTTTGTTAGGGCAATCTCATTAATGGTCGTAACGTTGCCATTAAAAGATTTGATGCATGTTCATGTCAAGGTCCAGATGAGTTCAGAACTGAGATTAATGCCATTCCAAATCTTCGACACAAGAACATAATTGATCTACTTGGGTATTGTGTTCAAGGAGAAGAAAACATACTTGTCTATGAATATATGCCAAATAAATGCTTGGCATCTATCATTGCTGGCAAGTTTTTGTTGACTCAATGCCTTTTTCATCTTTTCTGTTCATGTTCAGGAAGTACTTACTCAAATATTTCTGCTACAAATGCATTGATGGTTTTTGTAGATGAAACAAAAAGGGAGTTGCTAAATTGGTCCAAACGTCTTCAAATAATAAAAGCAATAGCAGATGGTCTTGCTTTTCTACATGGGCATTCTCAGATGTGCATTGTCCACAGGGACATAAAAGCAAGCAACATCCTGCTGGACCATGAAATGAATGCTAAGATTACAGATTTTGGTCTGGCGTTAATGTTGACTCCAAATACGACTGCAGAGGTTGTTGTTATGGGCACATAGTAAGAGCTCGTCCGATACAGAAATCAAGTTATAAAATCAACCATCATATTTTTTGCTTTCAAGTGTTTGGCACGTGCATTCGCATGATAATCCTCTCCATCATTAGTGGCTATGCAGATCCTGAATATGTTGCTACTGGAAACATCTCGGAGAAGGCAGATGTATATGGCTTTGGTATAGTACTTTTTGAGATAATAAGTGGAAGGTTGATCCGGTCTTATATGAAGGCAGAGGGCACTCGAAAGCTACCACCCCCTGCTTATGTAAGAATTTGTTTTTTTATTTAAAAAGGCATGTCTACAATATTATCTTAATTTGTAGCACAGTGTTATAATGATATTGGTGATCCCTTTTGTGGCAATAAAATGCGCCAGATTGTACACCAAGCTAGATGAATTTTATCTAGTCCTTTTTTTTCTGGACGACGAGATTTCTTGTGTATACTTAAAGAACTATGATGAACCAAATTTTTTTAGCATGGAATTACAGGTGCTCTGCCTTTGCATTAAAGTAGATGTGTAGAAAACAGTACAATTTCATACTGTTGCTAAGAAATTCAGGATGCTAAAAAGGTGAAGGGAAAATGGAAAAAAAGTTAGCAACTGGCCTTGCTGTAGCAGATTGCAGCCATGGACTGAGAATTTGTTTGCATGTAGTATTGTTACCGTGCTCAGGGCTGTAATAGTTGGTAGTCCCTTTCCCTCCCAGCTGCATAACCTCCTTTGTCCATTTCCTTTAGGGCCGGTTCGGTTAGGTATTCCCGGCCTGGAATGGCCAGGAACATTTTCAGCCAAGTACAAAATATGGAATGGTTCCCGGACCGGAACAGTTCCAGGCCATTCCGGGCTGGAAACGAACGGGCCCTTAAGGATATGACTCTTTCATTATATGTCATTGAGGAATGGTTTTCTTTTAATCCAAAACCACTAATGCTAACAATATGGAATTCGCTATGTTTTTGTCAGGCACACAAGTACGACCGAAAGAAGCTGCTCAAGCTTGTTGATCCATTGTTGTGCGTGAACAAGCATGAATGGGCTCAGATTCTCGAATGTGTGAGGGTGGCACAGTTATGTGTTCACCATTTTGCCAAACATCGGCCTACCATGTCAGAAGTTGTCACCATGCTTGGCGTGGCGCAGAGGGCACATGCTAAATAATAGGCAAGTGTATTGGAAATACTAAATCTGGTTGTAGCTTTATAAGAGCTACAAAGGGATAGTTGCAAATCCTGAAAGTGTCAACTGATGAGCTACTCAACTAAGGCCTTCTTTGGCTGCCCTAGGCATTGTATGGAGATATAATATGTACGTTATTATGATTGTGTAAACATCACAGCGATTAGCCACAGTAAAATATTTGGCAAGTTGGTCACACCACGAGCAGAGTGGTGAGTTGAGTGACTGATTTCGACTTAAGAGAGTTCGTGACTGGTGAGAGGTCCCTCGTGGCTTCTCTTTGCACCTGGGAAGTATTAACGCTTAGGTGATCTGCACCTGGGAAATCCTGTTGAATAATTGAGCTGAGATTCTCAAAAAAAAAAAAAAAAGGAATTCTTGAGCTGAGAGACGATGGGGAGCTTCATAGAAGGCACCTTACTTCAGCGCTGTGGCTAAATTATGCTTGGCTGGAATGCTAATTACTCCATGCTGTTGTTAATTTGGTCTAGCTCGAGATGAAGTGACTGACTCCATGGCCCATGGGCATGTTGAAATTGTCACACAACGACCAGCCACCCGTCCTCCCCGCTGGACAAATCAGGCTGAGGCAGGCTGGCATTGATGTAGACTGCGGCGAGGACTGATGACTGATGAGTCCAACTTCGAATCTTTCAAAGCTTGACAGTTCAGTATGCACCACGTCTAGCAGGCTGGCTTTGATACTGTGTACAAGCTGGAAGCTTCCTGGAAACCGCCCCTCCACGTTTGGCGCCATCTCTACAGTTTTGTTCAACCATGTCAGCCTCACAGTTTTTTTTTAAAGAAACATTTTTGATTGCTTCCACACCGGTCACTTTGTTTGACTTCTCTGCCACTCCCAATCCCAAACCTTGCAACCTTTTTTATGCTCTCACTCAACACCACCCTCCTCTTCCCCTCCGCCATCTTCCTCATTCACTCCTACCACCAAAGGTCCAAAGCAAACCAAGGCCAAGAACGAAGGAAGATGGCTCTGGTCGGGCAGGTGGCGAATGTGGCGCAGCTGGTGGGCGTGGACGCGTTCAGCCTCATCACCATGATCGCGGAGGCTGCACGGACTGTGCGGCGGAACCGCGCCGTCTGCCAGCAGCTGGCCCGCCGCGTCGAGATGATCGGCGGCCTGCTGCGGCGGCTGCAGGACCAGGACACGCAGCTGATGCAGCACCCGGAGACGCGGACCCCCGTAGAGGAGCTGGAGGAGACGCTCCGGCGGGCGTACCTGCTCGTGCGCTCCTGCCAGCGCCGCGGGTACGCGTACCGGTGCTTCATGGGGGCGCGCCACGCCGACGAGCTCCGCGAGGTGCAGGGTGAGATCGGCTTCTACCTCCAGCTCTTCCCCCTTGTTAGCTACGTCGACGCCACGATCAACTGGGTGAAGCATCTCAGCAGGGCTTCTGACAATTCTTCTTTCCAAGAGGTACAGCCACCTGTTCACAACTGCTAGTTCTCTTCTCAAGCAGTTGCTTCCGTTATGATATTTAGCAGAAACAAACAAGCTCTAGCACCGTTTGGAGCATGTCGAAATCTTCCTGATTCTTGAGTGGATTCATTAAACTATTTCGTACCAAATTCCTGCAAATTTCTCATGGACTTAATTCCCACCTTCCAAATAGGTCCTCAACTGAAGTCCTTTTACCATGCTTTTGTACATACATATGGTAGAGACATGGTAATAGCATAGTACGTACTTCCTATGATTCAAATCGGGACCTGTATTCTATTTCTGGTACAACAGATCTGTGTACAGGATCTTTGGAATTCCATTGTTACTATCTGACAGTAAGAGATTGAAATCTGAATGTTCCATAGAATTTAATTCTGTATTGTGCAGCATGCTCTGTTTTATGAATTTTCCTCTTTCCTGGAGAATTGAACTTTTGTGTTTGCCATCTGTTATTTGTATACAGGCACCTATGGTAAGACCATGTATTGTGCCGTTCCTGTTTCTCTCGTGCGATGGATGCTGCTTAGCGATAGTTCAGGGAGTATGCCTTGGTATATATATGGTACAGTACACACGCGGTTTGCATGCACACCTCCTCTGCTAATTAATGTTTCCTAATGATGTGTGTATCTGTGAATTTTTCATGTGTCACTGCAGGGTTCGAAACACATTACTGACTTAACTCTTTCTCATCTTATCTTATTAACACATAACAATGATCTAGCTAGCACCTTTTCATTGGGAACCGCTAGCTAGTATGCAATTGTTGGTCCTCTTTATCGGATCACTAGCTGTTGAATTCAGGTGAAAATGCATTTGCATTCTGTGTGCGAAATAGGTATGTTGAATTTTCCTTTCCTCATGGGCTCAACACATTCAGAGTTACTACTAGCTGACCAACTCTCACTCTCGGGCACTGATTTACCGCTCGAGTCTTCTGATGACCTGTTTGCATACATAGCTTACCTTTTGGTTCATCAGGAGTGCAAAGTTCCAGGGTCACAGCAGGCGCTGATGCCGGCGCAACAGATCCAAGCCTCGAGCCTTCAACAGGTTAGGAAGGACGACTAGGACCACATACGTCGTGCCCCCGTGGCACTTACTTCACATTCTTTCAGGTTACGAATTTAACAAACGCAATTCAGTATGTTGTCAGTCTGCAATAATCTCATCTTCTCATTCAGTGTACGTCTTGCCCTGATGCCCTGTCTGTGTATCTTCAGATTTTCTGAAACAGAGCAAAACACAAATGTTGTTGCTACTGGAAGCTATACCCAGATGAAGAAATGCGTCATCTGGAAGAGCGATAATAAGGATCATTTGTCATCTAGAAGTGTCAGCTGCTGTCAATACATACCATCCTTTCCTCTTGAGTTCAGTCCACACAGAAGAACTGAACCATGAAAACATCAAAAAGATAGACGAACTGCGTGTTCGGGCCAAAACCTCCATAGCAGAGATCGATAGCAATAGTAATCAAGATGTCAGACATGTCTTGATATCATTTTTGCATTGTTATTTTGCAATCATTACCCACTGATGTAGTACTAGTACCTGAGTCTCAAATTCTTCAAACCTGTACAGTTACTCTTTTCATGTTATTTAGCAATCATTACCCACTGATGTAGACCACAGGCAGAGTCATGCAATTTTCAAGATGCCTGTCATCTGTCAATGAAATCCACACGCCTCTGGCGATGCAGCTTGTACACATCATTTGTTCTTGATAAGATATAAAGAAATTCTATGCTTTTTCTTGTTCATGTCGATTGCTTAGCTGCGTAAGGTTGAGATCGAGACGTGGCCTAGCCGGCCACGCGCATTTGTTTCGTTCGAATCGAGGCGAATGAAAAGTACGTACTATTTTTTTTACCTGGCCTTGTGGGTCCCACTCACATTCAGGATTCACCTCGATTCCTCCGGCCTTCCTCAGGTTAAAACCGGATGATGGAATCCACACAAGGAGAGGGCAGACAGCTAGCAGCATGGACGACGGCGGTGGCGACGGGCGCGCGCAGCTCCAGGAGACGGACTCTGCCGCCGGCGGCGCCCAAGAGGGAGGCGACTGGCGTGCCCAGTTACCTCCGGTGACTCGCAATAGAGTGGTCATCATGCTGTACGTAACGCCCCCTCTCCTTTGCCTCCAGTCTCACGAAACTTTTTTTTTTCTTTTTTGTTTGTCAGGCAAGCTAGGATACAGATTTGAATATATCTTTAGATATAGATACGATTGGATAGTTCGAAATCAATTTCTTCGCAATTACATACCTAGTTGGTTTAATTGTCTATTCACGTTATCATTTGTTATGGTATCGGCGCCTAAAACAGAAGCGATTGCTTGAATCTCTCTAGGCGAGACACTCATGGGAGATCGCATAACACACAAAAAGAGACTCGTTATTTGGTAACGATGTTCGGCCGAAACTTACATCCTGGGGCATGCTTACGGGAGCTCCTTCCCGAAACAGCCACACCCACCGCCCGGGCCGCTAGCACCCCCGCGAGCCTGTCACTTTGTGTTGCTTCTCCCAAGTGATGGGTTACAAGTTCAACCCCCTTCTCTTTTTATAGAAAGGTCAGCTTACAAGAGCCAATATCTAGCTTACCTAACCCTCTACTGCTAATTACAACACAAATCCACTATAACTCCAATTAGTAAAAATAAATATTTGACACATTTCTAACACCAGGTGTATTTTATAAAAAAACAAAATAAGCATTGTTACCAATAATTTTAGGACAACAAAACCACTTGTTGAAATACGTGTATACTCACTATATATATACATATAAACAACAATAGAGTACATTGTAAGTCATATTAAAAATATGAGTTATAAATAGTATCAATAGTCATATTAAGGGCTTGTTCGTTTGATCCTCGACTTATTTAAACTAAGCTTATCGATTACTAGCCCAGCTTATATAAGACGTTTCTGCTTAGCTTATTTCTTGAGCATCTAGGGTGATGTTTTTCCATAAGCCATAAGCCAGCTTATATAAGTAGAGGGAAACATAAATGCCCTATGATGTAACAATAGTCATTAAAAATAAAACATAGGCTATATATCATTAGACATATCTTACTATTAATAATTAGAGGCCCCAATAGAACCTCCACGTTAATCCTCACTAGATACGTTAGAAAAAAAAGATAAATTCTAGAAATTCTCACATTAATCAGAAACATCGGACCACCAAATCAAAGACTCTAGCCATCCATCACCATTTGATTTATTTTGTTTTCTAGGAAATTACCCACCTCTGCCATTATAGATAAAAAATGGTTTTTTTGAGAAAATAAAACTTTGACGGTTTGGAGAAAATCTTTATTGTAGTACTAACGTGCATAGTTAATTAGTTAGTATAAAATATTGGACGAGTCCTATTCTCACGTCACTTGGTAGCATTATTCCATAGTTAGTTAATAAAAATATATATTAATAAAACAAAATATATGTATTAAAAAAACACATTATCAACATTCACAATTAGTTAATAAAATATTTGATGAGTTGGATCTTTTTATATATAATCACGTCATTTGGCAGTAAATTATTAAAATATCATACATGTAGTAACGACGTTCATAGTTAGTTAATAGAATATATGTATTAACAAAACTATACTCCTTCCGTCCTGTAATATAGTGCATTTTAGCATTTAAAATTTATCTCAAATATAATGCATTTTAAAGGACAAAAACTAATTTTGTATTAAATACTTTTTATTTATCAACCAATCTCCATTAACCACGTTGATAATAGTGTCTGATTAGAAAATAAAATAAGGATACATGCGTCTTTTATGTTTTTTCTTAATTTACCTTAAAATTCTTAAAATAAAATAAGGATACATGCGTCTTTTATGTTTTCTCTTAATTTACCTTAAAATTCTTAAAATGCATTGTACTATAGGACAGAGGGAGTATGTACTAATAAAATATCAGATGAGTCTTATAAACCCCATTCCCTTGGTATTTTATTAATACACTATCATCTACTCCTTCCATTCCAAAATAAACGTATGTTCCACTTCTCACGGAGTTAGATTATTTTTAAAAGTTGACTAAATATATAGAAAATAATAATAACATTTGTATCTCTAAATAATTTTATTGCACCTTTGCCATTTAGAACTATAATTCAAAATACCCATAAATTTGTATCTAAATTACCAACATATATATGTCACTACAGAGATAATATAAAGTAAAACTTTTAGTTATCTAAATCATCCAAATTTACTATTATAAAAAATAAAAGTACCTCTAAATCTACGTGTAAATACTAATATTATTAGGACAAATAAATTAATAACCATTGCCATTTTAAATAAGTTTATTACATGTTGATTAAAATATTATGCCATATATAATAATATAAGTTATTATGAAATAAATTAATAACCATTGCTATTTAAATAAGTGTATTGTACATTGATTAAAACATTGTGTCCTTACAATATTACTACACAATATTTAATTATTTTATATAATAAATTTAACATCTTAATTGTTGCTATCCAAACTATAATCTTTTTATGCCATTGTAGTAGCGAGAGTGTAGCAAAAAATCTATACTCCCTCCAAAGAATGCAATTCTAGCATAGTGGTATGTTTTGATATATTAAGTTTGACCATTTGTAGATAAAAAATATCAATATTTATATTATCAAATAAATACCATTAGGTTCATTATGAAATGTACTTTCATAATAAATTGATTTGGAACTATAAATGTGAATACTATTCACTACAAACTTGATCAAATGTGAAGCACTTTAACGGGCATGCAACACGTAGTTGCGTTCATTTTGGGATAGAGGTAGTATTATTTTTTTAAAAAAATATTATCATAACACGTTGAATCCTACAACCAATTGGATCTTAAAGAATCAATGTATTCATCTGGAGGACATGCAATTAATAAACGTGAACCAACATCTCACAAAAATCTTAAAAGACATTACAACCAGCCATAAAAAAATACTCTATCCTTTAATGCAATGTATTCTAGAGATTTTAAGGTAATTTAGATAGAATACAAAATTCGAATGTACTTACTTTATTTCTAGAAAAGACTTTCGTCCGCGTGATTTGAGGTGCCTACCATTTTATATTTTTATTTTACAAATCCTTTATATTATAATGCAATATATATCACACGATGAGAGAGTATATACCAATAACTAACTAATCTATGCTCCGAATTTGGTCAAAAGAATATAGAAACAAATCTATCCAACAGTTGGGGAATGGAATCCCACTAATAAATACGGACTACAAGCAAACACCAGCAAGGCTTCAATGGCACACTGATGCACAATACAGTCATATGTGACCTTCAAAAGTTGAAACTACAATGATGTTGCAGATATGAACATCGTAATCTACCAATGCTTCTCCTTTCTTCTACATGTAACTTCTCCATTAAATACTACTTTGATTAATACGAGGATCCAATTATTGTCATGATATCTAATCAAATATATAGCAAAAGCTATATTGGAGAACATCATGCCAACCTAAGCAGTCATCTACATCGCAAGATGATCCCGAAAGAAGTGGTACAACATTTGACCATGATGGGAATATAGTAATGTTGGCACATCCTTTTCTAGGATGCAAGAGATACCTATCAAAAAAAATCATAGGCGCAAGGAAATGCACCAAGGAGTTCAGAGCAATGACTTAACTACTGAAAGGTCCTAATATGGCTAGAGGGGGGGGGGTGAATAGCTTATTTAAAACTTCTACAAGACACTAGAACAATTGATTAGTATGACAAATGGCGTAATGCAATTTTGCTCTAACTTTACAAGGGTTGCAAGCCACCTACCCAACAATTCGAGTAGCTATGATCACTAGGCACTCAACAAGCTAGGTCACTACTCATTAAGCTAGTGTGCTCTCAAAGACTAACTAAAGAGCTACACTAACCAAACTAACAAGCTCTCAAAAGCTAACTAGATTAAAGAGCTTGACAACTAGTTTGCAAGTAAAGTAAGGGAGTGAATAGGGTGATTATACTGCCGTGTCGAGGAGTGAACCAATCACAATGAAGTCAATC